GTGTGGCCATGGTCTGCCCCCTTCCACGGACGCATGCAGAGGAGTATGGGTAAGCACGAGGGGAGTAGACAAGAGAGCCTCCCTTAGAACACGTGCGGCGTCCCTGTGGGTTCCTCCAGGTCCTCCCAAGGAAGAATAGAAGTTACTGACGTGAAGAAACAGCTTTTCAGGCCAGAAGATCATCTTAGACAGGAAGCTCTCTTTCCCTCAGTTGAGGCGTGTGTCTGCACATGGGTCTGTGCATCCGCCCCTACATCATCATTGTCTAGTGACCGCCACACTGGACATCTTCCCACCGTCTGCTTGTTCTGTGGAGGGGGCTACGTTCGCATGGTTTCTGGGGAGAAAGTAGATCCGGTGGATGCTGGGTTCAGCAGTGACTCTGCTGAATGCCTGCTGTATGCATTACCGTGGGCCTGCACAGCACCTTCCAGAGCCTGCCTGTCCTGGGTCCTCCCTGCAGTGCTCTGGGCCTCGGTGGCGGGGAGAGGGGGGGATGGCATTGCGGGGTTGCAGGCAGAGTGTCTGAGTTCTGTGGAGGAGTCGTCCTCTGGGAGACGGCTGCTCTCTCACTGGCCGCAAAATCCGCTTCTCCAGATCAGGGAAGGCAGTGAGAGCGGCTTCCCACGCTGGCGGTCTGGGCTGCCACCCCTGGCTGGGAGCTTAAGATCCACACGTGACAGTGTCAGGCCCAGCCACAAGTCACCTACCCCCGCCCTCCTCCGTGCCTACACCCACACGCGGCCTGTGGGCAGCCATGGGGACCACTGGCTTGGGGGGCCCTTTCTCCTGCCATGAGGGGCTGAAGGGCCCCTGGAGGTAATGCCATCATGGTTGTGGGCAACATGGTGCTGGTTGAATTTCCTCCTGATTTCCCGTCCACAACAATGAAGCTCAGGGCAAAAACAGGTTCAGGCCACGAATGAGACATGGAATGCCCTTGCTGTTACAGCAGCTGGACAAAACTGAAGGCCCGTCAGTCTTGGCTCAGGAGTGGGAAGACTCTGGAAGGTCACTTCCCTGCCAGACCACAGCCTCTCACAGAAGAGCTCCCAAGGTGGGTGTGAGATTCTAAGGGGCCCGGACACTGATCACTCAGAAGCAGCCTTCTGGCAACCTGCCCCTGCTGCCCCTGTGGGACCCACATTCCCCTCCTGTCTCTGGCCAGTGCCGGGTAAGAGGGCCCAGACGACCATGACGGAAACAGTGTAGCAAAGAAGACAGGGCTCCTCTGAGCCTCCCACTATTTCTTAATTAAATTAAAATGGCAAAGTATTTACTGCTTTTTTAATGCAGTCCACATTCAGTGGGGAAACCCCGTGGCCTGTTTCCCAGGCACTGGCTTGTAGGTATCTGCTGCCCAGTGGGGTCATGGGTCACCCTAGAGGCCATGTGTTGGTGTCCTTTGGAAACAGGGTTGTTGCTGCTGTGACTAGTTAGAGGCAGTCACATTGGGAACAGGGTGGCCCTAATCCCATATGACTGGTATCATTATGGACACAGAGATACATGCACAGGGAGGAGGCCACGTGATAACATGGCAGAAGTCAGGGAGAGTCTTCTATAAGCCAAGGAACCCCAAAGACCTTGGGGAAACTACCAGGAGCTGGGAGAGCATGGGAGACACACCTCACGGCCTCCAAGGGAACCAGCTGCTGCCCTTCATCTGGGACTCCTGCCCCCAGGACGGAGTGACAATCTGTTCCTGCGGTCCCGCATTCCCACCGACATCAGAACCGAGCCCAGGTGCCCAGATGGATAACGCACCTGGAGCCCGCTTGCCCTGCGGCGCGGCGAGGAGCCCCCGGGGGCGGGGAGGGAGTTGTCATGACCTAGGTCTTTCTGTCTCGGGAAACACAAGTGCCATCAGCACGTGTGCTCTGCTTTCCCTTCTTGTGTTTTAAGTGTTGGTGCCAACCCCGAAAGCTGATTTCATGGCCCACTCATGGTAGCAGCTTGAAAACCGCCCGCTTGAGGGAACCTCTTCCTTTGGAAAGGTGGTGCCAGCGCCCATGGAGGCGGTGGTTTCTCTCCAGATGCTCCCATTGCCTTGTCTCGTCTCTCCTCTCTGCCAGGCTCATCTTGTGGTTCGCCTTCCACGAGCTTCTCTTTTTCCCACCTGCTTTTCCAGCTGGCTTCCTCCGGGCCGCCGTCTTCCTGGCCTGTTTCCCGCCGAGCCCATGAGCACCGCGGGGCCGGGTGCTCGGCGGTTCGTCTGTGGGCCCAGAACCAGCGCCTCGTGCCGCGCAGTGACTCTTGAACGGCCTTTCAGTTGCTCGTGAAGTTGTGAGAATGTCATGGAATTCTGCCTTTTCTCGGTGTTAATGAATCAACGTTTTCTCCACACATTCCCCAGCAGCATCTTTGCCGGTCTTGTGCTCAAATGAACCCCAAGGTTTCGGGGTCCCCTTCAGCTGTGACGCTTTGTTAATTCATCCAGAACCCACAGACACCTGCCCCGTACAAAGTGTGGGGTGGCAAGGAGGACATGACATTGACACCCCCCTCAGGAGGCCATAGTCCACGGGGGCGGGGTCACAAAGGGCTCCTGTGACCAGTGGGGGGGGGCACGGAAGCAAACCAGCCTCGATTTCCCCAGGAAACCAGTGCTCCCAGCTCCACCTTACATCTTCCCCTCAGTTTTTAGGAGCCAAGTTGAATTGGGAACTGCCTTAACCCTTCTGTTTAGCTTTTTCTAAAATACTAGAAGGTCTGACTCAGGCTATAGCAGGAAGTGAGAGAAGCAAAGAAGTGATGCAGGCTCAGGCTCGGTTTTCCCGACCCTTCCCTGGAGGGAGGCTTTGGACTTCACGATGCAGTTTCCTTTTAATTAAAAGGGCTGACAAAAGATCCAAGTATATAGTGTATACCTACAGGGATACAGCTTAGTTATTTAAAAATGAAGAAATGGACAAAAATACAGCAGGTAAATTGAAATAATAAGAAAGCAGATCGTGGCAATCCTTATATCAGAGAAAGTAAAATCTAAGCCCCAAAGCATTAAACATGACAAAGAAGGGCTCTTTTTAATACTGAAAGCTAGAGTTCACAATGAAGAGATAGTGCTTATGATAATCCACACACCAAACATCACAAGAATCATGCTTGTAAAGGAAAAATCATGCTTGTACAAGAAATGCAAGGATACACACACAAAACACATTTATAGTGGGGGAATTTGCACACCATCCTAGTAAAAGAATCAGGGGAGAAAATAATAGGGAAGCAGAGGGGGAGCTCAACAACATTGTCGATAAGCAGACGTGATAAATACACACCAAGCACCCTTCCTATCCTGACAGCAGAAGACACATCTTCTCAAGGGCTTGTGTAATATTCATAAAAATTGATAATATGTCAGGTTGCAGAGAAAACATAAGTCAACCACAAAGTGGAACTATTAAAAACACTTTCTGATCATAGTATAATAAAAACTAGAAATTATTAACAGAAACAAAGAGAAAAGGTCCTACCACCTAAAAATTGGAAAAGATTTTATTAGACAACTTTTGGGTAAAAAGGAAGTGCAAACTAAAATTTATAGAATTTCTGGAAAATAATGATATTTAAACACTATGTATGAGAATCTGTGGGTTATGTTTAAAGGAGCAGAGCACCAACCACTTATTAGTAAAATGAAATAAATGAATTACTCAGCTCTAAAACTGGAAGACAGGCAACAAAGTGCACTATAAAAGAAGCATAAAAAAGGAAATATTAATGAGAAAGGTAGAAATTAATAAAAGGCAAAATGGAAATATAGTGAAGTTAGTTAATATGTCAATACCCTAGCTTTTGGGAAAAAAAATAATAGACAAGCTACTAGTTTGCCTGATTAGAAAGAAAAAGAAAAAGCACATATTTATAAAATAAGAATGACGAGGAAATAGCAGTGGGCACAAAGGATATCTTTAAAATAATGAGTTGATTTAGAGACCTCCATGCAAATACATTTGAGAACACAGAAGAAATGGGCCGTTCTCTAGGGAAATGGAGTTTGCTAAAATTGACTCCATTTGATTAAGAGAGACTAAATGAATCGCTTTTCCTGGAAGAAACAGAAAAAGTTACTAAGGAACTACCCGAGAGAAAACAGCAGAAGGAGATGGTTTCACAGGGCATTTCTAACAGATCTGAAAAGACCAGATGGTTTCAGTGCTCTAAATCATCTAAGAGATTCAAACAGGAAGGAAAAACACTTAAATTCTTTATTGTGAATTAGGTATAGCATTGACATTTCAACCTGATAAAGAGTACAGAAAAATTACAGACTAATATACACCCATGAACTGTATTTGGGTTCAAAAATACTAAATAAAACATTGAGGAGCAGAATACAAAATAATCAACATGACCAAGTAAGATTTATTCTAGGAATGCAGGGTTGGCTCAATGTTGGAAAATCCATTCATGCACCATTCACATTACTAGGCCTAAAGAAAAAAAAAATTTAGTATTGCCAAAGAATGAAAAAGACTGTGATAAAATGTAAAAAAATTGATGGATACTTTCTTCAGATGTTAAAATATGTATGCCTTTGTCCTAGGGCCAGAATCTTATTTATTAGCTAAACACTAGGGGTATTTTAGCTAAGATGGTGAACAAGGCACAGAAACCCACTAACTCTGCTACTTTTGACCATTATTCTCGAAATATGAGCCAATGCAATTAGATAAACCAATGAGATGCAAAAACATTGGTAAAGAAGAAGAAAATTCTATTTGTACCTGACAACGCAGTATATTTGGAAAACCCTAAAGAATCAATGATAAACTGAACTGAGGCAGTAAAATGATTTAGTAAGACAGTAGAACAAGAAATTAACCTACAGAAATCAATAGCACTCACACCCACAAATAAAACAGGTAAAGCACATGGTGGTAGAACCGTTCTCATTCATAACCAGCAAGGCAGATGACTGGCCCGCCCTGGGTCTCCCCGGCACGTAGGCAGGGTGGTTACCAAGTAGCCTTTACAGCCCTTGGAAAGTCTGTGCTTACCGGCAGGAGAGAACTGTGATTCACCATAACCCTCAGGACCGGCAATTTGGTAACTCTCATCAATGCTGGGTTCTTTGATGATGAACATGGAAAAAACAGGTGGACATTGTTTTGATTACACACTTATGAAGGTTTTGTCTGATACTTTATATTAAAACTTTAAGTTGAAATGCCAATATCATTTTCAAGTTTAATCTAAAAATGTGGTCTGGAAAGTTATCATGCAAGCATCATGTCAGATGTCATCTGACTATTAAGAATATGTATTTACTCGTTTGCTGACCCAGCCTCCCAGTTATGAGAATTTACGTGTCCAACAATAGGCAAACACATGCACACCAGGCTGTTCCTTGCAACATCATGTTTAACTGCAGAAACAATGTAAATAGAAGGAAGTAGAAAGACCACACGTGGGCAGGAGCCATATTTCCTTCTCTGTGACAGGCTGGAGCGGCTCTTGGCCCAGAGTGTGCAGGGAACAGGGCAGAAGCTGGGAATTTACGGTGAGCACCTTCATCTAACGAGGGATGGAGATGTGAGTGTATGCTTATTTCCTCATTTGTGTCAAAGGGAACACAGGACTCTTGGGGTTGGTGCCCTGGGGATGCACGTCATGGTGGGCTGCTAGTAGTTTCCGGTATGTACCTTTTTCTAATGTGATGACTTTTAAAACCACGGTAATGCTCACATATTCAAATATAAATATCTAAAATCAACAGCACAAGGAGACCAAAAAAATATGCCAATAGTAGCAACGAGCTAAGAAAGATGTGCAGAGAATGGGCAGGAGGAAAGACCCACTCTAGGTGACTTTGCAAACTACATATTTTTGGAGAGAAAGAACTCCTCATAAACACCATTCTCCTGTTGGCAGATTTGATTTTTCCAGGGGTGCAGGGTAGCAAATTCTAAGCCTCTAGGACTAAGCAAGTGCTTAAATTATTGTGGAAAATGGGAGCCATATTTTTAACAAAGAGTTGCAAAGGAGCAGGAAGGAGGCCTGGAGGCATCCTGTGATATTGGGTGGAATCAGATTATCAGCTTGAAGTCGTGGTTTTATGTAGAGAAAGAGGGCGGGCGACAGTTCGATATAATTCTGTATGTGTGTGTGTGTGTCTCTGTGTGCGCACGCCTGTGTGCATCTGTGTGTGCACACGCATGTGTGTGTGTCTTTTTGTGTGTCTGCATGTGTACACGTGAGTGTGTTGGTGTTTCTCTGTGTGCATATGCCTGTGTGTCTGTGTGTGTGTGCCTCTGTGTGCGTATGTGCGCGTCCACGTGTGTGTGCCTCTGTGGGCATTCGTGTGTGCACACATGTGTCTCTGTGTGCGCCTTTCTGTGAATCTGCGTGTACGCATGTGTGTGACTGTGCATCTCTATGTGCATCTGCACGTGCACACGTGTCTGTTTCTCTGTGTGCATCTGCGTGTGCACACGGGTGTGTCTGTGTGTCTCCATGTGTGTGCCTCTGTCTGCATGTGCACGTATCTGTGCCCCTCTGTGTGCACACGGGTGTGTGTCTGCATGTGCATGTGTCTCTGTGTGTGGTCACACATTTTCCAGCCCTGCCTGTGGAGGGAGGCTGGAAGCATTGGCATTCTCCTCGAGTCCGCCCGGCACCCATGTCTTCGTTTCTAAGTTCTGTCCTCTGGGAAAAGAAATCAGACTCCAGGGCTGGGGCAGGGAAAGGCCTAGAAGCCTAGAAGGCCTCACAGCGCCAGAAATTAGGGAGGTGTTCAAGAGGAGGGCGCATCAACAAGACAAAGAACCAAATGGAAGGAGCCCCCAGGGCAAATCTGGGGTGAGCCAATGAGGCAGGAACAAAGGAATGAATGAGTAAATATAGGACAAGCTCTTCCTCAGGGCAAAAATCCCAATAAATAAACACAGAGGGAGAGAGAGAGAAGCAGAAAGTTGCCATTTGACAAGGTCCTGCCTCAGGGCCCAGCACCACACCCCGCAGGGCCGGTGTCCCATGAGCTGCACAGGTGACCTCTCTTCTGGGCAGTCTTCAGGGTAAAGGAAAGATCTGTCACCCCGTGGCACCCCTCGGAGCCTTGGCCAACTGGAATCCATGTCAGCCACCTCGGCTGTTGGAGGGACGCTTCTCCCCATTCCTGGGGGCCTCCCTGGCTGGCAGGGGGCACTGGCTCTCCCCACCCGCCCCTAGGAGGGGCACTGACCTAGCTGGATTTGGGAGGGGCGGGCAGTGTGGAGGCCCTTCCTCTGGGCGGCCCCCTGCTTGCAGGGACCTTCCTGCCTTCCTCCTCCAGGCCCTGCTTTCCTGGGGTCAGAGTCGTGGGCAGGGGTGGGCGGCTGGCGGTTCCTCGACAGAGCCGGAAATCTGCCCCCGTCGGGTGGGGCTGCCTCCCTGTGCAGCCACGCTTTCATCCTCCATGAAGGGGCTGTCCCCATCTGCCCCTGCCTGGCTCCTCCGTCCTCCCCACTGGGTTCTCCACGCAGGTAGGGGATTGGCGGGTTGCATTTACCATTATTGAAAATTTTGTCCTCACTGCCAAGAGAGAACTGTGAATTATCTGGGAGTCCATGATAATTCTGAGGAGCACCAACTTGAAAATTCTCATCCAGGTTGGAATCTTTGATGAACAACATGGAAAAAATAAGGAAACAATTGTTTGATTACACACATACGGACATTGTGGTCCACACCGTATTTTACGGAGTGCTAATGGAGTGTTCAAGTTCTACTGAAAATGTGCTTTGGAAAGTTAAAATGTAGGAGAGTCAGGCATCATCTGACCGCCTTGCACCCAGCCGTGTGGGCCTCGGCAGATGTTGGGTGATGCTAATCCTAGGCACTGGAATTTACATCTGGATGCACAATTTCCAGACAAGGCTGAACTTTCTTGCTGCTGAATGTAGTTCATGCGCTGCGTGTAGATTTCGGATACCCAGCTCTCCCCTTAGCAGGTGTCACCCAGACACTCAGCCTTGGTTCTCCACGAGCTAGTTTATGGGTCTATGTGCGTTCTGAACACCATGAAGCTGCACTTTGGAAAAGCACGTTCTTTGTCTTTGCTCACTACCAACCAGGTGGCCTTGGATAAGTGCTTCAGACCCTAGTTTTATCCCCCGTGGAATGGGGTCATGGTCACCGTCCACTCTCTCCAAAGGCTTAGGTACGCGTCGGTGTGCTGGTAGTTGAAAGCTCCTATTTCCATGTGCCCCGTTTTCCTGCGGTGGCTAAACCCCATCCGCAGCCTGAGCACAAGACCTTGCTTGCACGTGCACCCCAGAGACCAGCCCCAAATAGAGGGAACTCGTCTCTGCCCACCCGGGCTTGATCTCCTCGGTCTCGGGAAGGTTTAGAAATGGTTTGGGACAACTGTCTCTCTCACATTTCATTTGTTTTTGCCCCAGACATAGCTGGCCTTAAAGAAAGCAGAATGATGGGATTGTGTCTTCACCACCACAGACCCAGGAATATACACAATTATAAGTTTAAGAATGTATACTTGCTTTTTCCCATGAATAATTTTGTTGATATTGTTGATGCCGTCCTTTGTTTTCCAGCCATTGATGATTTATTTGGATCCAGCATCTCTCGGACTAGAATTTCATCTTGGGAAGAGCACACAAGGACATGTTAAAGGCAGCGGTACAGGACCCATACCCTTCTGCTCTACGCGGACCTAAGGCGGTCTGTGAAGCAGGGACTAGAAACAGGGACTCGAGGAGCACCACGCCGACGGGATTTGGCTTCCTAGAGAACCTTGTCTGGGTGGGAGGCCACTGCCTCCCTCAACAGTTTCTGAAACCTGAGACCGTCCAGATACCCTGGACGAATAAGCACTGCCCCCCAAAGACACGATGCCAGAAGCCTGGCCCCAGGGGCAGCCACACTTCTCGCTGCCCCCTGTCATTCCGTCCGCTCTGAGGCCTTCCCCAGGCCGTCCCCGCGTGAGCACGCTGTCCTTCCTGAGTTCTGCATGACGCGGCATTGCTTCCTCCCCTGGCGCCTTCCTGACCCCTCCCAGGAAGCTTTTAACAAAAGAGCACCGGACTTCGTGTCCGACAGAGGGGGCCCACGTTCTGGTTCTGCTCTCACTGGACCGTGATCCAGGCAGCTGTCCCCTGGAGCCTCAGTTTTCTCATCTGCAAAATGGGTCTGTGTTTATCTCCTTGGGCTTGTTCGGAGGTTCACATAAAGCAGTGCACATGGACAGCACTTAGCACGGCTGGGGACCATGATGGAGGCTAAATACAAAGGAAAAGGGGGCAGCAGCAAGTCACCCTATCTCTGCAGCCCAGCGGGCACCCTCACTGGCTGGTCCACGCACTGGGACTGGAGCCCATCCAGCAGGGTGACCACCTGCCCGGGTTTGCCCAGACTCTCCTGGTTCAGCAGGCAAGTGCCACATCCTGGGAGTCCTGAGGTCCTGGGCAAAGCACACGGCTGTCCACCGTGCCTCCGGGTCATGGGAGATAGATGAGTTCAGGGGGAGAAGACCTCAAGTGCCACTGGAAACCAAGATTTGGCCGACATGCCCGGGGAAGTGCTCTGCGGCTCTGCAGCTTTCCCCCTCAGCTTCACTGTCCCCCTTCCTCTCCCCACAGACCCTGCACTTTGCCCTGGGGCCATGTGTGCATCCCAGCGGGGCAGGGCGTGCAAAGGGCCCCGAGAAGAACTTCGCTTCTCCTGGCAAAGACAGCGGGTGCTTCAACCTGTACCCTTCCTTCTTCCTGCCCTGGGAGTGGCCACCATTCTGGGGCTTCAGACACCACCCATGACCACAGGCGTGAGCTCAAGGGGTGGCCGGGGTGACCTCAGGGACGTGGCTGGACGTCACTGAGTGGCTGGTAACACAGCAGCGCAGCCCCTCGGTGTGGAGCCCCTGCGCTCTGGCTCTGCTCACGTGGCCAGGGGCATTCTTCGCTGCTGCCTGCTCTGGTTACACCGGCTTCCACCTTGGGAAGACCTCGGCCGCTCTCCTGGGCCAGTTATAATGCAGAAGAAGACTTACAGTGTTAAGTCCCTAAAAATCATGGTGTCTAGTTAGATTTTGGGTCTCAGAGAAGTTATTCATGTGAATAACAAACATTTATTGAGCACTTACTGTGTACCAGAAACTGCCCAGGTGCCCGGAGGTCAAGGACGGCCCAGCCCTGGCCCCTAGTCTCTGTCCTGAGCAAACCGGCCATGTGTGAGGGGCAGGACTCTACACGTGTGACCGTGCACCGCACCTCACAGAGCACCCACCAGGGGCTGAGGTCAAGGGGGCCCTGAGGCAGGCGGGGACCGGCAGGGGACAGGAGTCCGACTGAGCGGCACGAAGAAGTGGGTGCTGCTGGAACCAGTCCTCCTCGGGAGGGAGGCTGCAGTGGCTTCCTGGGGACACCAAGTACCATCAGCTGCAGACGTCCTGGGAGGTCCTCAAAGCAGGCGGTGACAGCCCCACTGCCGTGGACAGTGTCCGTCCTCAGGACCAAGAGGAGCCCACAGCCGGCGGACTTCACACCACTTCCAGAGCAGGAGGGGAGCAAGCCAAAACCTAACCTTTCAACAGCCTCCAGAAGCATTGTGCATCTGATTGTCCCCAAAACCTTCAGGGAGCCCGACAGGTCGTGCAAGTGAGAAAACAGTCTCCAGATCATGCCTAATTTCTTACGGTTACATTTTTCTTTTCTGGAAAATGAGATATTGAGTATACAAATGGGCAATGACCAGACCTACATAAAAACAAAACGAGCCCACTGTGTCAGCCACAGACCAGACAGCCGGGCTGCCGTCGAGAAGTCCCCCCTGCAGGAAGGTGATTCCAGCAGCAATCCTGGAAACCAGACACCCCCGGCCCCCCGGGGCCACCTGCCCCTGATGTTCTGAGTCCTGGGACCAACCAGAGAAAGCCCAGGGTGCTTTCCTGACCCATCCCGCGGGACCTGCTTCTGGTTAGCTGCCCGGTGTCCCGGCCGGTGCCCACGTCACCCCCTGAGCCGTCTCCGGCCGGTGCCCACGTCAGCCGCCCCCCACCAGCCGTGCCTGTGCCACCCTGAGGTCTCCCCGCCCACCTGCCCGGGTCTCTGCCACACGCACGTGACCGTGGCCTGGCCGACGGCCTGCTGCAGGGAGCTCTGACTCCACAGCCCCTGCTGTTCTCACCTGGTGGACTTCGCGCGTCTCCAGAGACACGGATGTCTCCCTCTCACGGCTTCCCGCTCTCCACCCGGGAGAGGTGTGTGTGTGGGGGGGGCTGGGGGGCAGGAGCCTCGGTTCCCCTTCTGGGCTTTAGTTGATGAGCCCCACAAGGTCATCAGAAATCCCAGTGACTCCATCCTTTCCTTTTCCCAGGCAGTTGGGACCTTGGGTGGCCGGCCCACAGGACGGAGTGGGTGCTGGTGACTAATCCTGCGGGCACCGAGGCTGTCGGACCCGCCAGGAAACCTAGGAGTATCGGCCGCCACCTCTCCGACCTGGGGTGCTTCGTTCCTGCCCGGCCGGTTCCCGGGACTCGCGGTTGCCCTTCCAGGTCCGGCCCGGAGCTCAGTCTCCCTAACCCGAAGGTAGCGTTTGAAGGGTGTCTAACGCACACCTGCGCGGGGCAGAGTCCTCCATGTACCCGAGTTCTCTCCACGCCCTGAACCACACACAGAGCCGATGTTACCATTTCATCTCACAGACAGGCTCTGCTGCAGGGACACAGGAAGGAACCTGTGGGCGTCAGAACCGCGTCTTCTGATTCTGAGACAGAATTGCTTAGGTGAGCGGCCGGTGGCCACCCCACAGTGAACTAGAACGTTCATTCATTCATTCACTCGCTCATGTAATCTGCCGATCTACCTGTCTCTCTGTCTGTCTACCATCTCTCTGGCAGTCAGAAGGGATTTCCCAAGCCTCTGCTACACCGGACTTGGAAATGGGGCGAAGCCCAGGGTCCTGGCAAAGGCGCTGCTGGGAAGGGTCCACGTCACCCAGCAGGGAGGCACTGTCCTCAGAACTCTGCTCTCTGAGTTTCTAGGCCAGGAGGGCAGCCCAGCGTCATGCTCCCAGGCTCCTTCTCAGAGAGAAGGGAATCCCCAGTTCCCAGCCCCGAGCCCCCTCTCTCAGCTCAGAGGGCTTCTCTAGGCTTCACTTCTACGAAATGTAAGATGAGTGTTGGACCAGAATGGCAGGCTCTGTAGCTCTGGCCACATGGACACACGTGGATCGTATCTGGTCCAATGGAGATGTCCTCTGGTTGCAAAGTGCACACCAGATTTTGAAGACTGAGTGTGATAAAAGGCTGAAAATATCTCCTGAGTGCTTTTATGTTGTTACACACTGCAACAGTAACATCAAATAAAATGTGGTTAAATTAGTTTCACCTGTTTCTTCTAAACAGATACAGCTACTAGAAAATTTAAAATGATATCTGTGGCTTGGGTTGTATTTCTCTTGGACAGCCCTGTGAGCTCCCAGGTTCCCAGCACAGCAGGACTTCCGGGCAGGTCTCGATTCCGATTCTGGGCATTGCTAACGAGCTCCCGGTGACTCAGCCCTGCTGGCCCACGACCTCACATTCAGAAGGGATGTCCCAAGGCCCTTCTTTGGTCCAAAGGCCTAAAATTCTACTTCTTTCTTAACTTCTTGGGAGCTTGACTCTTCGGGTGTAAGCATTAAAGCTAAGGGCCACAGGGAATGTGATTCTAGCCTCAAACTGAATTGCACCCCCCTCCACCTTGTGCAAGGAGCACCAGATTATCTGGGAAACACCCGCTGACAAGCACCCACCCTTCCAGATACAGACCGGATGCTGATACGAGGAGGTTCCTTACCAAATACTCCAGGCATATCCTCTTGACTTTTTGAACTGGGTGGCATTTCAGTGGTTGGACCTACGGGGAAAATAAATACCCTAATAGTTTAACAGTTCATGAATTTGCGCTGGCTTCTCTCTAAATAGTCTCCGTTTTGGGGCGCCCACCAGCCTGCTGCGGGGGAGAAGTGCTGCCCGGGGTTCCCAGGACCGGGCTCGCGTCTGGGAAGTGGCGAGCAGAGGGGCTGTGTTTGGAGTGATGCGCCCTGCCCCTGCGCTCGGACTCCTGCGCTCTTGGGCAGCGCTCCCTGGCGCCGTCCCTCACAGGGGAACAGACCTCCTGGCTCCCAGGAAGCCGCCCTTGCAGAGCTCCGAGGACAGCCAGCCAAGAGGGACACGCATGTCCTTGTGTAAAAAGCACATGGTCGCCTCCTCGCTGACTGGAGGCTTAGGGATAGGATTTGGGGAACGGGAGTGTGGACTGCTGTTCCCCTTGGGGTTCCCCGGTGGGGAGGGGGTCCCAGACACACCGGCCACCGGCTCTCTCTCCCCCTCGTCAGCACAGCCATTCCAGGCGGTCTGTCTACAGGTAAGACGCGGGGTCTCATGGGGGAGTTGGCCGGGCCAGACGGCAGACTTCCGTGGGGTCCCTGGACGCCTGAGCTGCAGCCTTCCCAACAGCCTCGCTGGCCTGAACCCGCCGTGCTGGGGACCCAGCTGTGTGTGGTGACTGATGCGGGTTCCCCGCGGCAGCAGCACCAGCCAGGGGCTCCCTGCCACTCTTCTGGCTCAGAGTGGGGCGGTCCTGGTCCCTGTCCTCGACTCGAGGTCCAGGTCAGCCTCTCGTCCAGCCCCCCCCGGCAGCCGCAGGCTCCCGCAGGGGAGAGGGCAGCCCCAGGACCGGCCGGGCAGGGCCACCGGCTGCAGAGCAAGGCGTCTGTAGACGCTCGGTTTCCAACAGTAAACCAATGACGACGCTGATTTTCAAATGGATTTAATGATGGACAATCTGCATACCAATGGACTCATCTGCGCGCAGAGGGCTTGGAACAATGCAGGAAATCTATGTAAAAAGGTCTGCGCTGAGATGACAATCGCTTCCCAGTGTGCTGACCTTCCGTAAACGAAGCAAACAAAAGTACAGTTCTCTCTGGATGAGGCATTAATGAGTCATTAAGAATGGGTACAGCTGCGTCTGCAAGCACTTTGTTAAAAATATTCTTTTCATTTTGTGTCTGTCCCGTAATTATAATGGAAGTATTGTGCGAGTCAGCCAGTAAGCGTGTGCAGAAAAATATTTATGTTTTATAATATGCGCACGGTTTTTAAAGTGCGTCAACTGCGGTTGCCGGGATGTGTTTCGCCTGTTGTCACCCCCGACTGACAGTCTCTGGGCTTCGAACCGCCAGACGCCGGAGTTACCAGGATCCCCCGGCCCCTCCGCCTCCGTATTTGCACAGTGCCCAACCTGGCCACCGGGAAGGGCTCCTGTGGACCTCGGCGGTTGTGCTCTGGTTAATTTGGGGCAAACGAGGCAAACCAGGCCCACGGCTGCCGCCCTCCATCTCTCCTCGGGGTCAGGCCGACCCGTGTGGCCGACGGCAGCGCTGTCCGTGGAGGCGGTAAGCCCCCGGAAGCGTGAACGGGGACTTCAACTACCTCCATTTTGACCTCAAACTTTCTAATTGATGATGTGCTTCTTTCGGGCTTATCTCTTCACTCAGGCGAGAGACGGGGAGGGCCAAGCAACCTCGGATGGGAACCGACATTGCCCCTGAAGGGTAAGGCCGGCCCGCCCGGGACGGACCCCGAGACACCGACCCACCTGACCTTCCCGCCCACCTGCCCGCACCTGCCGGCCTCTGGCCCCCGTTTCCTCCTAGAAACCTGCGGGTGGTTTCGGCACTTGGGAGGTGCTAGCCCGCGGTCTTCCCGGCGTCGGCCTCACTGAGACCCGCTTTCCTGCGTGCCCCCCCCCCCAGTCTCTGTGCCTGTGCATTTGGTCAGCGCGAGTGGCCACAGCTGGCCTGGGCGGGGCCCTGCGCCCCGGCTGCGAGCCGTAAGGAACCCCAGTGTTCGCTTTCAGGAAAGGATTTCGGCCCTTAACTGGTCTTCCGAGCCGGGGAAGAGGCCGGCGGTCCCCAGGGCTCCCCGTCTCGACAGGAGAGCCGGTCTGGGAGGGGCAGGCTGGCTGTGGCGGCCGCAGGAACGCTCCGTCCGTCCGCGCTGGGGGCCGGCCCCGGGGACGCGGGCTCGCGACAGTCGTGAGCAGGAAGGGCCCGCTGGGGGGACGCGCGGTGCCATGGGCGGCACTCGGCCCCCACGTGTCACACTGTCGTAGGCGCCTGGGAGCTCCGTTTCCTTAAGACAAGGAAGCTGGGGACGTTCGCGTCTTCCCTGACCGCCTGCCTTCTCACCCCGGCCCCGGACAGCTGGCCCGGCCCCTCGGGTCAGCGCGGGCACGGTGAGGCCGGGAGGGGGAGCGCTGTGCGGGGCCCGGGGCCAGCACCCGCCTGCTCCCAGGAGAGCCGCACCAACCCCCTGGGGACCCCCCAGGGCCTGCACGTCCACCCGGGGAAGCTGGGGCTGGGGCACCGTCCCGGCCTATTTCCTTCCATCTTTGGGGACCCCCGAGGAAGGTGGACGAGGGGGGCAGGTCGCCTGAGCACGGAGCTTCCCGGCGGGAAGTGGGGGGGTCACGGAGCACCCCCTTCCTGCCGCCCTGTGCCCTCACAGCCTGCGAGTCCTCGCCTCCCTGGGCCGCTCTGATCCTCCGCGCGGAAGGGGCCAGGACGAGAGTCGGAGCCAGGGGTGCGCGGGGGCCCGCTGGGGGTGATTGGAACTGTCCCCAGCGAGGGCCTCTGGGACCGCAGGGGACTGCATCCGGCCCGTGCCTGCGTGTTAAGGACACTGGCATGTGGCGGAAAACCAGCTTCCCTTAGCAAGAAGAGGTGTGCGTGGAATGACGGGGCCCACTGGACGCAGCTACTGCACTCCCAGGAGCAATGGGAGAGCGTGTCGCGCAAGGTGCGGGACCCCAGCCGGTGTGCAGCTGACGCCCGGGGTGCGGGTTCTTTACGCTCTATTCCTCGACTTTGGGCGAGTGACACATTTTCCATAATAAAAGCGATTGCGTCCTATGGAGTTCTGGCTTAAAAGGGCTTCAAAGATAGAAAACGGTTCAGTGCACTCCATTCTCCCCCAGAAATAAATGATGAATTGGGTAAGTAGGGAAGGACCCGAGGGAGAAGCCATGGTGGCCGGATTCAGCCCCGGGGAGGCGAGTGTTTCTACCGCCTCGATAATCCACTTGTGACCGTACCTGAAGTCATATTGATCGGTTGGAGCTTGGTTTCATGCCAGCAAGACAGCAGCAGGACAAACAGGGTCACTCCTCTGTTCCCTGCCATGTTCCCTCCAGCTGAAGGAGGAAGACCTTCCCCTAAGGCCCTCAGCTTCTCCTGCTTTGGTCTCCAGGATACCGTGGAATGTCCGGGGACCTGTGACATCACCGCAGGAAGTGAGCCGGGTCCTGCCCTCTG